TGAGTGAGCAACGAGAAAGACTCCAGAAGCAGGCCAAAGGCACACCGGTTCCATCGATAAAGGGCATACCCGTCTTAATGCCTGAGGGTGAGAACGACGTCTCAGAGGATAATGCGTTGATACGCTGGGTTCATAGAGTTCGACGCATCAGTAGTATGGGAGCTCCGAGAGCAAGGGTCAGTGTGGCAGACGTTCGCCTAGAGCGAAAACTTCGCTACGACTTTGTGAAGTTGAAGGACAAAGGCCGACTGAGGGAAATATCTCATCAACGCTATGCTCGGCAAGCGTGGTGCTCGTCAAGACGGGCCTGATCGTGGAGCTCAAAAGCGATCACAACGCATGGGCAGTCTTGCCGAAAGGATGTCTCACACTCCCATGATTTCTCAGAATCAAGATACCCACGCCACTTGGCCAGATATTGGTAGTTACCATGACGACGGCGTCGATGAAGTAAATTCTCTACGTGGAGCTGGAGATTCCCAATCGTATAAAGTAACGCCGGTGGCGGTCGGTGTATAGGTATATAGCCACTCGAATCTGTCGAAAGATGTGAGTAGCCTCCTTGAGACTTAGGTAAAACTCAGCATGCCCTGAACGAAGCACAGTATAGTCTGGTGACGCTTGAAGGCGATCATACCCGTCTTCAGACGATGAAGACACGTCTGACTCGTGTTAAAGCACAGCTTGATTTCTTGATCCGGTGCAACATCCTGTGGCGACGCCAATATACACGGTGCCAGCGCCCTCGAGTCAATAAGGGACGGATCCCGGTACGGCTTAAGCATGCCGACATAAGAGACGGGGTGAGTACGCAAATTTGCGCGGTAAGCTGAGCGTATACGCAAGGCCTTCGCGGCCACGACCGTAAAGGTCCGATGAAGCGCGGAAGCAACATCGTCTTAAAAACAGCAGCTACTACATTCGTAGGTAGGTTTTTAGCATTGAGTAAAAATTGGTCACCGGCCTCATAGCTCTCAATGCAACCTCTTCCTTTTCTATCTGCCAGTTCTTTTTAGTTATAGTGGCTTTTAGCTATTGCGTCCCGCACATGTCTTAAGCACATTCAACCTTGTTGCAAGGAACTCGCCAACCTGTTTCTGAACAGTGGCAGGGCTGACATCATCAAGCCTATCGGCGATTCCTCCCCCACCAAGCCCTGAATCACGGAATGGTAGCGTTAACGGAACGCGGGTCTTGTTAGACCGTTTACATAGAGCATCGTATAACCAGTCGAGACATGAACCGAGTTGTTCATTGCAAATTTGATTATCGAGTGCATGAAACTCCAACGCCAAGGCGTATCAGCGCACACGCTGCGTGAAATATTACCAGTAACGCGGTTAACACGCTCAATTTTACCATCGGTCACCGGAGGATCCGCTGTGAACATGTGCATCCTAGTGCTTAGCACCTTGAATAGAGACTTCCGAAAATTTCCGGTAAACCGAGGATCACAGTCTGAAACAATCGCCACAGGCAAACCATGTTGACGAAATACCCGATCGTAAAACAGCTGTGCTGTACGTTCACCATCGATCAAGTCCGGCACATCCGCTAAATGAGCCATCTTGCTCAAACGGTCAACGAAGACCACAATGCCAGTGTTGCACTCCGAATCTTTCGGTAGTCCAAACACAAAGTCCATACTGATGGACTCCCAACACCCAGAGGAACAGTTAAACTCGGCAAAGGCGCAGCCGCATGAGCGGAAAGTCTAACGCGTTGGCACATTTTACACGTACGCACATATGTGCTAACCCATTTTTACAATTTGGTCCACCAGTAATATTGGCTGACTGAGCCATATGTCTTTTCTCGACCGAGATGACCGCTCAAAGCTGTATCATGCGTCTCATAAAGGATACGATACTATAGTTCCGTATCATAAGGAACTGCGGTGTGCGAAGTATCCGCCGCATCCGTGCTATAGCACAGTAGGCCATTACCGAGAGAATGTCAATTTAGCCCCGCACGTAATCGTGCCGACAACTTACTTTCCGAGTCTTCAAACTCATCACAGCCTAGTGCGTGCAATAACGCGACACATTGCTCATCCTTGGCATAAGCCGCGTGGATTGATTTAGGGATTGACGACGACTGAGTCGCAACATGAGCAAGCCTATAATCGAGCCTGCGTGTCAACGCATCAGCCAAAGTATTTTGCTTCCCTAGCTTGTACTTTACCTCAAAGTTATATTCTGCAAAGAATGAAAACAAGTGGGCAATCCGTTGTGAAAAGTGAGGCGACTGTGTCACAGTGCGTAGCGACGCAAGATCTGTATAGATCACAGAAGGCTTTGAGCCAAGCAGATGCACTCTGAATTTTACAAGAGCATACTTCACTGCCAGTAGCTCCTTGTCATGAACTGGATAGCTCTTTTCTGCAGCTTTTATCTGGCGCGACTTAATGCGATGACGCGTTCACGTCCATCGACATCTGTCTGCAATAATGCACTGTCAAATGCAATATCGGACGCGTCACAGACGACACTGAAAGGTCGCTCCGGGTCATACAAAGCCAAAATAGGGGTATGAGGGAGAACTTGGTAGCTTAAAAGATTGAGCCTGGACTGTGTCATATCACGAAATTGCATCCTTCATAAGGAGATTGGTTAATGGTCTTGACATATCAGCGTAATTTGCACTATATATGTGCAAGTAATTGGCTAAACTGAGCCATTTCCGCAAGTGATTTTGGTTTGACCGAATCGGCCAGTCAACAATTGACTTTATCTTAGCGGGATTCGCCTGCAAGCCAGGCTTCCCAATGAAGCACGCTAAAAGGGGATTCCTTCAGCACCAAAGATGCATAATGATGCATTTGCATACAACTTATTGGTGCGCACGCACCCGAGCACTGTCCGTAAGAAGTCTTTGCGATTCTCCACATCTGACCTTTCTTGTTTCGCACGGCTATGGACAAAAATGTCATTAAAATAGGTTTGTGCATATCCTCGGTGAGGGCGGAACAACTGCGTCACGAGACGATTGAACAGTGCAGGGGCGTTAGATAGCCCTTGTGGCATAACAAGCCACTCCCAAGGTATGCCACTCAACTTACTAGCCACTGTGAGCGGATTATCACTCGCTCATAAGCAATTGTTTATACCCATCGAACAAGTCGATTGCACTGAACATGGTGCATCCTAACATAGCGTCCGGGAGAGCATCATTTCTAGGAAAGGTGTCTGTTCCGGTATGGTGGCTGCGCTAAGCTTATTGTACGCATGCACAATACGCCACTTACCATTAGGCTTTCTGAAACAAAAAGTTGGTGTCGAGTACGGAGTCTTTCTCTCACGCACCACGATTGCCGCGCGCTTTGTACGGAAGAACTCGTCAATGACGCAACACTGCTTCTTTGGTAGGGGAAATTGCCTTCTAACACAATCTTTGGTCCCAGGGACCAGGCTAATCTCATGACGCACACCTCTGTCGGGAGGTAAGGAGATGGTGAGTCATTACTCACCACATCCTGGAATTTCCCAACCAGGGAGTAGAAGGGTTCCAAAGGATCTTTCAAGTTAGCAGATCCACTGCGAGCACTGAGTGCAACTGCAATGTCCTTAAGGACTGTCTCATCCAAAAAAGGATGACGAGTTCAACTCTAGGTCATGTCTAAGGACCATCATATCAGACAATCACCGGCTTTAAAGGGCTCATATAATTAATCTACAGACATTTCATCTTGCTCTAACAGAGCATTTAGTGATGGGATGGACTCGAGGCCAACCTCTCCCTCAAATCGCCCGTCATCCCATTAAATAATGTTTACAACTTTTCACTGGTGTCCTTTTGGGACGTAGCAGATGCCATTCGTTTTGCAGCAGCCATCCAGCGTCGCTGCCGTTTCTGCACATAGACTTAACACTTCAAAGTGTTAAAATGATCTGATTTTACGAGGTGAAGATCATCTCCAACCTCAGCATGCTCTATATGAGATCCAATGTCATTATTAACATTCAGTGTGGTGCCATCGCGGCCGAATCCACTCTATGGATTATTTTCCACGATATTTGCATCAACTGAGTATGGATCTTGATGCCTTGGCGTATCACCAACAATGTCATTACCAACAATTAGTGTGGTACCATCACAGCTGACCTCACTCAGTGGATTATCCTCCACTATGCACGCATCAGATGAGCATGGCTCTTGATGCCTTGGCTATTCACCAACAATGCATCACGAAAATTTCGTGGGGTGCTATCACGGCCTACTTCACTCAGTGGAGCACGTGCCACTGCACATGCATCACAGGGATCACACCCAGGATAACTAGGCTCTAGGCCATCAATACTACTAAAATTCAGTGTTTCACTATTATCAGTGTCACTCAACGGAGTACGTGCTGTGTTAATTTGTTAATGACGTCAGAGTTAATCATCTTAGACACTCCGATGTCCAGCACACTAATAGACTCATTTAGCGGCTCGCGCCAACAGCACTTTTTCTGCCTATCAAAGGTGGGTTCATGAATCTCCGAAGCTTCACTGGAAACATTGCGCTTTGCACCCAAGGTCTTTGACCTCCAATCACCCCATGCTTCATGTCGTTCCAGCCAAGCCATCACAAGGATGAGATCATGTCTCGAGTCCAAATCAAGGATAAGACGACGTTCGATGCTATTGAAATATAAAAACCTCACGCCTAAGTTCAATGGAGCTTTAGGTACGGTGACACGGGTCCCTGTCGCAAAGCGAACAGTGATAACATCATATATATGCGCTTTGAGCGCCTCAGCATACTGCCGACATCCCTCATGGGATCGGCACCGAACATAGTTGCCCGACGTCCCAGAGTCAATTAAAATTGACTACGGCTCTTCAAGCCCTTAATTCTAGCCGAGGCAAAAAACAAGCCTGGCTTGTACTCACGTCTCGTGGCGACCTCCACGAGTCCGTCTGGGGCTGAGCCATGTCGATCTCTACCATCTAGAGACTCGGCAGGGCCTAGTTCTTCCCGAGTAGGGCGCCCCGCGCCTACTGGGAGTTGACGTGTTACCGCTCCGTATTCATCTTCGGGTTGGAAGACATATTGCGGATCCGCCGACTTTGACGCGGTTTCCGCAGCGAACACTGTGGACGCAAGTGTTTAATGCTCCCGCACGTGTAACATCTACGGATGTTACGTTGCTGTTCAGCAATTCGAAGCTCCGGCTTCTTCTTCTTCTTCAGCATGGGTGAGGTCGATGGGATCAGCTCCGTCAAATGATCTTTGGGCCAGCCCATTAAGGCCATAGCGAGCGGATTAAAAATTGAACTCAGCGTTCAACGGTATATCAACAGCTTCCTCAAACGTTTATGGGTGGACGCGAAATACCTCCGACCTAGCGACCCCAGTACGAAGTCCTTCCATAAAAATGGTGACACAGACTTCTTCTGGAAGAGGGTCCACCTGCATGCAAGCTATGAGAGTTCGCAACTCCTGGACGAATTCCAATAATTCCCGATTCCCCTGCCTGGAAGCAAGGAATCGGAAGCGTACACGGTACGCTTGATTTGGTGGTGCGATCAACCGAGACATCTCTCATTTAAGCAAATCTCATGTGGGAAACGCAGCGTCTACCGACGCATCTCATGTCGGATCGCATTCTCTGGCTCTACCATCTAGATTCGAAATGGCTAAGCCAACTTTCTGTTGCTTAGATTGGAGCATCACGGCATTGACAGCCATATCGACTTCTCAAATCCAGAAAAGGAACCCCCCCTCTTTTCCCTTAAACTTCTTACGCTAAGAGCTAGCGGACGAGCGTTTGGCTCACTGTCAGGTACTGGAATGTATCGTGTAGGTATCGCTAAGGAGAAATGGTCATGTACCTGCCCGATCATCGTGGCCTCAAACTGCATGAACACATCCAGACGTGCGTTAACCGCTTCCGGGACTTAAGCAACAATGTAGTCGACCTGCTTGACCCCGATCAACTCTCTAAGCTTACCGAGCACAAGTCGTTAAGCCTCAGAGAGGTAGTCTTCACCTCTTTACAAAGAATCAATCAAAAACGACACAGGTGCATGATTGAATACATTTGCTACCAATTGTAGCGAAGCTATCACAGCACTTAAGTCAGAGGAAGACTTTACGGGTTAAGCCAGAGGCTTACGGCTAGCAGCCAATTAGTTTTAAGGTACTAATATATAAAGTTAAAGAGTCGGCTAGTTCTACGGAACTTAGCGCGGACTCTATGAGCTATTAGCTCAGACTACTGTAGTTCTAAGTAACAACACGCACAATGTTCAAAAGGGGAATACAGGGATCTAAAGACTATCTAACCCACGACAGTTCTACGGAACTTTCAAGCGCACTGTACGAAATGGTGGAAGTCTACGGACTTCTTCTCAAAATGAGAACTGAATTTGATGAAATTAATGTCAAGGAAATTCTACTTTAAGTACCCTACATTATACTAAGCTAGAACCAATACAAATAGTAGTATTCGAAGAACATGGATGGATGGCGCATCACTCAGTCATCAAATGATGACTGTACAAAGTCCTTCCACGGTAATTAGCGTAACTCAGAGAATACCGACAAATGGGTTTTCTCTATTGATGTAAAATCTAAGGCCACGCTTGTCTCCCATATTTAATTTGGTAGATCTTCAACCAATTTAGCCAATGGCTACTGTGGCCCCGTTGCACAGGAAATTAAAATAGTATCTCCAATTTTTCGAACCTTTTTTTGAATCTTTATAACTAAGAACGGCAAGCAGCAACACTTGATAAAAAGAGATGCTAAACGAATGGATCTATTTTTTAGGAAATTGATAGGTATGCACCCACCCTTTGATACGTACACACCTACTCAAGCTGTGTGAACTAGTTACTCACCACAAATTGTAACGGAAATGCATAAACAACAAGTTACTAAAATTAAAGCACTGCGATCTTCGATCACCCTCTGATACGTACACACCCAGTCAAACTGTATAAACTTATCGTTTGCCACAAGTTGTAACTTTATGCATGGAATCCGTCTTACTAAAATTAAGTAGCACTACGATATGTGATCAGGAGAAGGGAGTGACCAGGGTTTGCGCTATTGAACTTAGACAGAACAAAATAGACTATGCTTGCACCAACTGTAGAAGTTGTCTACACATATCTGGCGGACGTTGAGACTCTTTTTGCTCTTCGAAGAAGTGTGGTTATACGTCAACGTTAACCTAATGGCTGAGAGGGCGGGCGAAACGGACGTCGACGACGTCGGGGGCTCGTCTTCCGTTTTGTCTTGTTCGTTCTATCCGTTCTCGTCTTGGCGAGAAGCACTGTTCATGCGCTTTTCTGGTACGAACAAAAAGCTTCAATTGAAATTGCCAAGTCTGCTAAGCTGCCTTGACACTTAGCTGAAATAGCGCCTCCGCACTAAAGCACAATTTTATGCTTCGTCATATCTATCTACATCGAAACAGACAACTTCCTTCATTCGGCTTTTACATCTCCTCCAGCAAAGCATTAACCATTAGTAGCACGTTACCGTTGCACTGCTACAGACGGTCCACAACCTCTCTCGTTTCCACGATCGGAAAGATGCTGCGCACCATAACGAGCTCCTCCAACCACCTGATTGTATCATTTATCGGAGCAGAAACCATCGGCTCCACAACGACCAGCGCAGCACAACCGGGCAGCAATCTCAACCTGTCGAGCCACCACAGGCTCGACAGCCACAGGCGCCTCCTCCACAGGATCCGACGTTCATCCCTGCCCCCTTACCTGCTTCCACTCGCTGTCCCTTGTAGCTTACATCGGCGCTTCAGTTGCCTCCCCGACAAGCACAGTAGCCGTCGAATGCCGTGGCGTCTCTAAAATAGGCTCCACATTCGCCTGAGCCGATGCCAAATTATCAATCTTGACCACCACCTCCTTGGCAAACTCACCAATTCCCTCGACCGCACACTTTAGACCTTCCATTGTCTCCTTCATGAGCTGATCAAACGGCAGCTCCAATGTGCTCATGCGCGCTGCCGCGCCAGCTTCTGGTGTGTCCTGGACCATCGTCTTAAGCGCCTCGTTCGTTTGGTCCAGCCTTGTCTTTTGTGCCTTGTTGGCCTACGCCTCGTGCTTGAGCTTGCTCATGGCTACATTCAGCGTCTCCACAAGCTTCTTAATGACCTTGATAATCAGGTCGGCAACATTCTTTTGGAACGCGACGGCCGAGCGGATTACGGCTTCAAAGTGCATCGACGTGGTGCTAGCCGCAGCTGGCGAAAGCACGCGACACGCCTCCTCGTACTCGGCCTGCGGCGTGACGTTCAAGCAGTCGCCCTTCACGTCCGTGAGCTGCATCACAGGCTGCCGGTCACAAGGTTATACGTATCTGCAAAGGGAGCAGTCAGGGCCTCAAGCAAGAACGCCGTGAGGTCCACGTGCTGACAGTGCAGCTTGCCCTTGAACTTGATCTTGAGCATTGTTTATTTGGCGTCCATCGTGAGGGATTATTAAAGTGTAGCAAAGCAAAGGAGATTCATGCAGTGGAGTCTTGGTCATTGTCGAGATTCCAGTACTGGTTAATTTTTAACTTATTTTTTTTTACGTTTGAGTTACAATTTGAGACGAATGATTAGTTTACAAAGTTTGGGCGGGTGAATACGCACCAAAGGGTAATACGCACCAAAGGGTAGGTGTGCATCTATCAATTTCGTAAAATTATTCGGCTGGGTCATTCATTTATAAATTTAGGCGGCAAACCAGAAGTACGCCTACCTAATTTAGTCATGGATAGATTCCAAGTATATTCCATTAGGTATTGCAAATTACGTACTTGTCAGTGCAAAGCTAGAAGTGACGATATTCTTTAGTTCAAGGTTAAATCCTTTTCCAGACCTATTTCCTTCTGTTGGCTCTCTCTTCAGAGAAAAAAGACGTTGATGACGCCATCTTGGGCGCGACGCTCACCTCAATACCAATCATCATAGTCAATTACGTCCATTACATAATGAAGTATCAATGCAATCGCGATTGCTTATAAGAGGCAGTCTATCATGCCAAAGTGTTTTGAAGCGTACTTTTGCAAAAAGTGTCAACTAGTATAGCAATTACCAAGATTCCATAGCGTTGAGAATGCCGCAGTCGCCTCTACAATCGAGATTGCGCTATATAAAATTAGAAGTGGCCGTAAGTGATGGCAATTATGTCACAAAACGTAAATAATGATGTTTGAGATCTCGCTGAGAGCATTCTGTATCACTGGGAGTTGGTGCACGTAAGAGAGCACCAAAAATTACCAAACAAGAGGTAGTTGCACACTTTTGGTGGAATGCGGAGATATTCCGGGAAACTCATTTAGTTAATTAGTCACTGAAGCCCTTTTTATAATAAAAAAGACATATGAAGATACAACAACTTAAATTTTAAACATAAGCTTTTTTTACATTGTTCCTAAATATGACCTAATAGATTAAAAATGAACCTAGCCGTTTGCCGTTGTATCATAATCTTTTATGGTATCTCTTGTTGGATGATTAAGGCTAATTTTTTGCAGTACACTTGGGAGCCATATACTACAGAGAAGAAAAAAAGGTCGGGGTTTTTGGTAAAAGAAGTCAATAAAGTATAATGTATCTCAGGAAGGAATTTTAAATTTTGAAAAAGGGGGAAATATGCCTTTTTGTGGATGTAGACGCGGACTCGTATTTGTATGACTTTCCGACTACGACATTCATTTCCAGGCGTAATTGAAAAGTTTAACTGACCACCAACACTAACGAAATTTAATTTTGAGGCTACCTGCTACAGCACATCAGCATTGGTAGTGATAGCATGACTGTAGATGAACTAAGGAATAGTCTCGAATCAGTAAGAGATATAGTACTATAATCACTCATGCGGCATGAGTAGATTCGAAGGGAGCACCTGACCACAAAATTGACATGACTCATCATTGCATCAATACATATTGCTTCAATATTATAGCAAACGAAACTCGCTTACGATAGTTGTCATCATTCAATATGAAACAAGACAATTGTACCAATTTCTAAAGACATCTTCAGATCCAGATATGATGAAGTCGTAACTTTGCAGCAAACTGTCGAATTTTTGTCTTTGTGATTTGCTCTTCATCAAATTTTTCTAACATATGACTAGCCCGAAGAAACCGGTATGAATACTGTGGAGCTATATATTCTATACCGAGCCTTCTCTCTTCACTTACATCGTTTTTCTGTTGAAAACTTCTATAATAAACTGAAATCGATTCGAGAATGTACGATCTCATATAAGACATGTTGTGTGTCAGCTTGTTGTATTGTGGTAGATATTTTTCGAGCTTCATAAATCATCTGTTGAAGCCGGTGCATTTAGAACTCAACAATACACAAGTAATATGTATATGATTACTATATTGATCCAAACACACAAAAGAACTCTTGTATTCCCGGCTGTTCAGTACAAATCTTCGTTGAACTTCCATTCCAAGAAAAAAATCTAAATATCTAACACAGTGCGTTTCGTCAAAGCCAAGAACTGAAGTGAAATTTGGCTTACTTCTCACCGTCATACCTTATGCAAGTCCTGCGGAGAATTGACGGCTTTGGTATACTTCGAGTTTCACGGTCTTGTTGGAAATGATTTTGCAAACGTCCGCCAGTAAATAGAGAATAATTGTGAGCGATGCATTCCACTTACTGCTATCATTTTGGTGACGGTTTGTTTGCTTGATAAGATCTTTTAGCTCTCAAGTTATTGTAACTACGAGTTTACACAAGTAAAACCATCGTCTTGCGCTTCCCGTTACCACGTACTGTAGCTTGGAATTTTTGTAGTGAGAAAATTTGTCGCTAGCCGTAGTAATATCGTTTGGCGTCGAGACGTACACGGGTCCATCAAATTGAAGAATTACGCGCACTGCCTACTTGCATGAGTTGTCTCTTTAACTATAATATTCCTCACTTACCACTTCCGCTGTTATCACGCAACTATTGCTAGTATTTAAGTAAAGCCTATAAAAATGAGTGGTCTGTAGCCAATTCGAACCTTATCCCAAGCGACATCTCCGTTGTCCCACAAATTTGACGCACAATGATGAACGGATGCGTGTCTTTAGCCTTGTTTACAATATGGAGCAATTTTTAAAGCAGATCCACGGATATAAGAAGGTACAGAGACTTTATGGGACAGGAATTGGTACTGCGAATTGCGCTGGTCTATTTGCTAGTACTGGAAAAGCTTCGAATTTGTTAGTTATGCATTGATAAGTACTGGATGGATATCGCGAAATAGTCATCGTTCAAATTGAGATAGTTTATAGAGCCACATCAAATTTGCTCTAAAACACAAGTTTAGGGGTACCTTTACCAGGCTATAATTGATTTTGCTATCGCTAGATGCTAGCCATATCGACAGTTCAGCGGCATCGTACCCGCAAGTGTCGTGCCAACGCGGAGATTTTCTATTGAGAGGGCACGATACCAGGACACAATGGATCAGTGCTGAGAAAATATCCTGTAAGCGGCATACACTATATCAGGAAAAAAATGATGTAAGATTTGTAGGAATTTCAAGAGCGTTACGCTTTTAGCTATGATCCTAGGTACACATCTAGATAAACAAAGATTAATAAACTTAAATTATCTCTTTAAAGCTACAGACGACTTGCCTAGCACTTAACACTTTTCTGACTGAGCATTCATGCATGCAACAGGAGCTAATTTGAGGACCGCCACCTTCGTCGACTCGTCCTATTCTGATATCTGCCATTTCCTTATCCATCGTGAAGCAAACTTGAGATGTTCCAAGCTTCAACTTGGGAACAAATTACAACAACCCCCCCCTCAGACGCTTGTGTCAGAACACCTTGGCTAGTGCGAAGTACTCATGCCATAATCAGCTTGGCACTTAGCAAGTCTGCGCTTTGGTAGATGCTCCGTGAACATATCTGCAGGATTCTCTGTTCCGGACAATTTCTTCACCAGAAAATGTTCAGCCTTGATTTGGGTACAAACTTAATGCCATCTTAGCTCAATGTGTCTTGGTTTGATACTATTTGGTGGTTCGCAGAACAATCAAATAGCTGCGAAATTGTAAATGTTCATCCTTATTACAACATGTGCCCTTGTACACTGAAAAAAACATTTAGTGTATTCTCTATTACGCAGTACTTATGGGTGCTTAGCATACTGCCGCATATTCGGCTTCCGCGATAAATGTTTCGACTGTAGATTGACGTCTGGCGACCCATGCGACAGCTCCAGAATCCACCATAAGCACAAATTCAATCACACTTTTCTTGTGTCGAGATATTTTATCCAATCAGCATCAAAATTTCTAGAACTGGCAAAATCTTGGCTTGATCCTATATTTTTGTAACGTATGCCGGTCCGTAGTGCACCAGGCAGGTACCCGCAATACTTTCTTGACTTCTCCGCAGTGTTTCGCCACGGATTGCTTACGAAAAGGCTCAATTAGCCTATATCATACGCAGTGTTAGGCGTCGTATTTGTCACTATTACACAACTTAAAGCTTCTCGATAAACAAAATCAGTGCAATCTTCAGTTGGTTCAATGTTCTTCATGTATCCCGCGTTGGTCTCTATAGGAGCTGCGCTACCGTGAACCTCGTCAAACCAAATTTGTTAAAACTTCGTTGCGACTGGTGAATACACTGGTCGTCTCATCTTGCTAGACATTGATGCCTAAAACGTAGTTCAGCTTGCGTCCATCGTTGAAACCGTTTTTTGCATCTATGGCTATGAAAAATGATGCCTTGTATGCCTTTGAATCGGTCGCTAAGATCACATCATTGACGTATAGTATGAGAAGGCAGATGCATCATTCGTGCAGTAGGTAAGTACATGGCTCAGTCTTACTTTTTAGTTATAGTGTTTCCGAACAGGTATCAATCTCTTCATTCCATTCGGCTTCCGACTGATACAATCCATAGCGCACTCTGTCCACGCGGTATATGGTTCCTGTAAGCTAAAAGAATCCTGACATGTTTCGGATATGTTGCTTGATCTTCGAGTCCGCCTTTGAGCATTCCGTTTGTTCATCTTCTTGATATAACACTTGTACAACTATTGTGTATAACGTCACCAGCACTCAAAGCTTACAATCCGTGCCACAAGCAAATTTGACTCCACGCAGTCAATTTCTGTCTGCTGCTAAATTCCCAATCCTACAAGTATAGGAAAAAAGTGGGTGATTCATTCTTTATCATGAGCATCTAATGGGGTTCTCTACACCAATTCTAATTTGTTTGCGCTCTTCGTGGTGATTCATCGATCGGAACAAGCACTCAATCAGAAAGCATGGCGTTTACCTCTTTTATGATACCAGCATAACTCTCG